TATCGTAAATGTCCTACCTGTGGGATCCTCCATCTTTCTCCTCTATGAGCATGGTGAATTCTCTCTTGTTTATAGCAGTCACCTGCTCTGCCGTCATCCCTGGTGAAATAATGCATCATTATCATCATCATCATCATCATCATTGCCTTTCTCACCCTGGATCAGGATATAGGCCATGCACAAACACTTTCCACCTTTCCCTATCCTGGGCTAATCACTTGATGTCACTCCATGTCTTCCCACTTTTCTGTACATCCATCTTCGTGACTCTTCTCTAGGTTCCATGAGGTCTTCCCCTTGATCTTTTACCCTGTGGGTTCCAATCTAACACTTTCCTTGTTATGCAGGAAATAATGATTTGTTTAATTTTAGTAGAAGTTTTACGGCGCTTGCAACTGCATAAGGTCATATGAGTGCCAGTAACAAAAATAAAAAAGAAGAATGGGAGATAAGGACGATAGATGTTTGAGAGGAAAGAAGAAGCAAACCACACCACAGCACCCACCAACCACCCACATGGATTAAATAGATAAATAAATAAACAGATAAATAAATACACAGATCAAAAGAAACTTACCAGTGCATTTCCCTAATTCCTCAAATCCTGAGTTTTCCGCTGGGTTGATCTTCCACGTTCCATAAAACTGCTCCATGGTCTAGTATTTATAGCCTATGGATAAATCCAAGCACTGCAAAACAAATCAAATTCAAACAAATCAGCGTAACAGTAAGATCAAATAAAAATATATGTGTGTCCTAATCATAACAAACACTTTCTAATCTCAAAATCTTATCTTCTCAATCCCATAACTGAACAGGAATTCTGATAAATTGGAACAAACATTTGTGTAAATTAGCTCCTGCCCCCCAGAAAAATAAATACAATAAAACAAAACCCAAAAAAACAAATAAATAAAATAAAGTAAAATAACCAAATGAAAAAAATTAATTTACGTATGACAAAATTGAACATGAAAACAAAATTAAGATACAAAAACAAGAAGTTGGAAGTGATGAATTATGCTCTTGTGGGGACAGCAAAACTGAAACAAAATAAGACACAATTACACCTAATATACACACCAACCACTGGTTTGAGAGTGCATATATATGTGTCTGATAGAAAGTACAAGTTCTACAATTTCTCTGATTTTTAGGCACGAGAGAGAGAGAGCTTAAAAAAGAGGGGAGGGGAGGTGACAGACAGACACAAATAGGAGAAGAGAGAGAGAGAGAAAGAGAGAGAAAGAGAAAGAGAGAGAGAAAAAGAGAGAGAGAGAGAACGAGCTCTAGTTTCATGATATTAAGTAAATAAATAATTCATATTGTTTATTTTTAAAAACTTAAATTTTACAATGATTGGCTTTCTCCGCTCACACACACAATCCCTTTTACATTCGGTACAAGCATACCCATCAAATATGTACACTTACAAAAAATGCACACTCCATCCAAGCAGCATAACAAAAGAAAAGATGATGTGGTATCTCCGACAATTTACGACAATTTTATTCAAATTCACGGCTGTTGCCCACCGCCATACATATCTGCTAACAGCTCATGAATACGATGACCAGATATAGTTTTTGTAACATAACACGACATTCTATTTCTCTTCTCATTCGTGAAGTCTGACCCATGTCAGCACTCATAATAATGGTCATACTTTCCGTCCTTGCTTACAAAGGACTTAGAAGCCATCAAGCATACTTGTGTAACGACGCGGTGATATCAGGCACTCGTCAATCTTTGAGCATGTCGAGTTATCGGTATCATCTTAAAGCATGTTCATTTGCCTTGTTTTTTTCAATTAAAAAATTACCCATTTACCTTGACTACAAGTCGAGATATTTGCAGTTGAATGAGGTTGAATATCCTGGTTTCAGAGGTAAAATTATTGAGAAAATGGCCGCCAAAGTTTGGTTATTTACAAGGTCTCTCAAGCTATGGAAGTCCCCAATCTTTGGCGGTTTAAAGAGTTTAAGTTTAAGTTTTAGTACAGGTTTTACAGCGCTTGCAACTGCATAAGGTCATATGAGCGCCAGAAGATCAGAGCCTAGAGGTGCTACAAGAGAGTAACAAACATAAAAAAGAAGGAGGGGAGATAAGGACGATATAAGTTTGATAGGAAAGAAGAAGCAAACCACACCAGAGCACCCGCCAACCACCCACGTTTAAAGAGTGTTCATTTGTGTACTTTTTGATGAAAAAAATACCCAAGTCAAGATATTTTTGTTGGAAGGAGTTGGGGGTTGCCTGGTTTCAGAGGTAAAATTAGCGAGAAACCGCCAAAGATTGGGGACTTCCATAGCTTGAGAGACCTATTGGAAGTTGAACATTTATAATTTTTTGTGCCTTTAATCAACGGTTTTCAGAAAAATCGACACAGACATGTGTTTTTAAAAGGACATAAAAGGTGTTGAGCCACCCCCCCCCCCCCCCCCCAAAAAAAAAAAAATATTGTCAAATAGCCAGAAAAATGCAGTTTTCATTGACTTCATGATTTTGATGAGTGCCTGATTTCACTACCATACCTCACATTTCTTCATACCAGTTTCTAAAACAGGTGCTGGTTTAGTTGTCTGTCTATCACGATACAGTCATCCTAATCGCAACCGCTAGTCCTGCCTAATCCACAACGGTCTACTGCGATCTAGGCAGTCAAGCGTAAATTCCCACCCGATAAACTCCAGTAACAACAGCGCTTGGGGCATAAAAATAAATAATAATAAATAACTAAATTATTGTTTTAATGATCCCAGAAGGGCAATTTGGTTTACAAAACATACATACATAACATACATACATAAATACATAATATTTATAAATACATACATACATAAATACAAGCACAAATGCATACATAACATAAATTTATACAAATATTACATCAGTACAGAACAACTTACAACCATGCCACTGCCAGTCATCACTGTGCAGCGTCCTGTATTTTGAGCTAGGGCTGTCGTGTCTTACTCAAGGACACACCCCAGTGACCACCCATCTGATGCCCGTGTCACCGACACTTGCTTGACATTACTTGAGTCCGAAGTCACAGCTCACTTAGCCACTGGAGCCACCAAAAAATCAAAGACAACAGCATTTGCAATTTCTGTGAGCTGGAAGGAGGATTAAATATTGCTTCTTTTAGTGATGCCATTTGTGAGACGTGCTGACAAAATGAGTTACTTTTTGTCATCCACAAATGGAGATATTGGCCAAAAATCGACACTTGGGTCAAATTTGTAGATTTCTTATTGATGTCATATTTTTTAAGTACAAAACATGCCTATGATTTCATACTTATAAATAATAATAACTTCACCTACAAGCGTGATATATCTATTTTCATGGAGATAAAATTGGAAAAGTTATTTATTTTGTCAGCACGTTTCACATTTGTGTTACGACGCAGTGGAATCAGGCGCTCATCACTTTTTGGGCATGAAAGAAAAAGAGTGGTTGTGGCAAGGCTTCGATACCGGGCACCGGATGGACGCTAAACGCTTCATTTTTCTGAAATTTTAGAGCTATATTAAACAAATTTCCACACATACATCAATTCTACCCATGAACAGCACACATATTAGAACAAAACAAGCTCTTCTAACTGGTTTTTATTTAATTAAAATCAAGCAGTCATCAGTGAAAATTTACGTTTGTGAAGTTGATCAGTACGACAGTTTTCCTCCTCGGTAAGAACACTGCTTGCTGCGATCGGCAGACCGTTTGTGGTACCTATATTTAAAGAAACTGAACTAGAGTCCAAAAACTTTACCTACGATTTTCTCAAAACAGCATTTTTCGGATTAGCCCCCTTGTGCTTGAAATCAACAAGCTTCACTGAAATGTAGGGGCAGGTATGGTGTTGCTGATTAATAATGAAAGATTTGTAGGCTAGGTTACTTTAAGTCATTTATTTTAGTGATTTAGTGATTCAGTGTATGCATCCAAAGAGCGGTTTAAAAAAGGCTTTCAGTTTATATACCTTGGTCCAAGCCAAATACAAAAATGTTTTTACTTAAGATTTTTCAAGAAAAATGTTTTTGTTTGGTCGCGGGCATGCAGAACTGCCATTTGCGAGGTGGTAGATTAATTTAAATGAGCTAGAATTTTTGTAACACGGACAGACAAAAGTGAGCAAGCCATAAAACTTTTCCTTCCTACTCTAAATATAACAATAAAAAAACCCAGCTTAATAATAATGATAATAATAATAATAATAATAATAATAATATTTAATAATAATAGTGATGATACTACTACTAATAATCATAATAAATAATAATTTATAATAATAATAATAATAATAATGGTAAAAATAATGATAATAATAATAATAATGATAATCTAATAATAACAAAAATATTAATAATAATAATATAATAATAGGCCTAAATAAGTAAGTAAATAAATAAATCAATACGTAAATAATAATAATAATAGGCTAATAATAATAATAATAATGATTATAATAATAATAAAAATAAAAATTAATATTATAATAGGCTCTAATAATAATAAGAATAATAAAATATTTATTATAATTTAATAATAATAATAGCCTTATTGTTTTTGTTTTTGTAAAGTGTTTTACGACACTCGCAACTGCATAAGGTCATATGAGCGTGCGGGACACACCTAATATTTTCAGTTGGTAGGAAATTTTGAATTTTGCCCGGGTGGCGGCCGAAGCCTATACTCTATATATATCGATTTTAGACCGCGAAGGGATCTTTAACGTGCGCAACTTGCACACGGGCCCTCCGAGATTTTCCGCCCTTGTCCGAGAAGGCTAGGTGTAGATCTTTCCTACCAGAAAATCAGGGGTGTGGCAGAAAGACAGCAGTAAGAAATAGCCAAGGAGTAGCAGTAGAAAGGCTGCAGAACCGAGTCAGGAGCCCAGAGGAGGGGGCAAAGGAGGTGAGGGGGTTGGGGCAGAAAGTGGAAATGAAAGCAGACAACAGAATATTGCTGGAGAGTAGGAAAGGAGGTGAAAGGAGACAATTTTAGGGAAAAATGTTTTTTTGTCGCTACCCGGATTCGAACCCGGGACCATTGAATAGAGGCCAACACCTTAACCTCTAGGCCACGAGAGCCCCCCCCAATATCCTTATAATAATAATTATAATAATATAGGCCCAATAATAAATAATAAGAATATGAAGAATAATGATTTTTAAAGTCTGTCTAGAAATAATAATCAGTCTAAAAAATAATAAATAAAAAAAAAAAAATAAATAAATTTAAAAAAATAATATTTAACTTCATTAGCCTTTTTATGGAGCTACCAATGGGATCATAATATAAGTAGAAGCCTGCATGAATTACATTATATTATTATTATTATTATTATTATTATAATATTATTATATTATTATTATTATTATTATTATTATTATTATTATTATTATTATTATTTATTATTATTATTGTTATTATTATTATCATTATCATTATTATTATTATTCATGCCTATTATTATCTAACAATCATCCTTCACTTCATCTGCTGTGCCTGTGTAGCAATTGAATAGTCAAAAGTCTCGAAACTACTAGAAAACCTATATAGGCCTACTATAATAATTTAATACTATACTCCGCTTTGCCTGCCCAATATTGCAGAAACTCTCAGCTCAAACTCAAAAGTGCGGGAAAAAGTGACCCTTATCCTCAGAGCTTAACATAAGTACTTTAAATTTGCCGTTCTTTACTTTTTTTTTAACTGCTTTTTTTTCTAATCTTTCATCTTTGCGGTTCGCTGTTGTGTAGAAGTCTTACAATTTGCATACACACAAAGTTTTGATTTGGAAACATTTTACGAGAGACCTGGAACTCGTACTCAAGAGTTACATGCCCCTGCCCGTTGACCCCTGCGTAATGTGGAATCTATTGTTCCGACGGAGATTGTCTTGACCCTCACCTTCCGTATTGTAACATCTACAATACGAACAAGCAACTTATCAAAACCTTTTCAAAGCAAGTAACTTTTCAAGAGCAATACTTTTTCAGTGATGCAATACTCACCGATTTGTAAATAAGGTTCTACTGCAGGGCTTTTCAAGACCCCTCTTTACTTTCTCTCGCCGCAACTTATTTCGCTTGACCACACAGCACAGCAGTGTTCCAACGAACAGCAGGGGGGTGCTGCGCCCTATTATTTTGTCATCCAACGTTCCATTGGATGAACTCAAAATAGCAGCCAATGGGATGAACTCTTTTTAGCGATCTTGCGGGGCCACAGTCGAGAAGAACCTGCGGACGCGCAGAAGGAAGGAAAGCGCGGTGGTGCCATGGTGCAGGGCAGTGCCATGCAAACAATTTGCGAACGCGACCGTAAAGAATCTTATAAGCTGACTTAAAATTTGATTTTTCTAGTAGAAAAATGGGTACATCTTTCAAGGATGTTATTTCCCCCCCTTTATTTTCATCGCTCGAAGAGATACTAATGTGGGAAAGAGGGAGCTTTGTGATTCTCACGACCCCAGCTTCCTCGTCAGTAGCCTCAGTGGTAACGGCAGCACATTTTTTGTGTGGTTTAGACGACCGGTCAGTTGGTCAAGGTCGGGAACAGGCCAGAGAACTATACTATACTATACTACTACTGCTATGCAACGGCAGACTCTCGCCTCACCTCCGCCTCCGCCCTGTGCACATTTGTCTGTCGTCTCAGTTACCCATAACAGCAACCAGTAGGCTAACTGACCTAGGCTGGCCCTATGCGTATTTTTTCTAACATCATCGAAGAAAAGAAAGCGGTTACAACTTTAACGTTGTTGGCATTACTGCATTCTAGGCTAGCGTATGGGAGTCGGAAAGAGGTGCTGAAATATATAATAAGGTTTAAAATTAAAA